GAGGAGCAGGATCTGAATGGGTGAAGGATGCGCAGCACTAGAGTACTCGCTTACCACAAGAACCTGGAATCGTAGAATCGTATCATAGAATGGTTTGGGTTGGAAGGGACCTTAAAGCTCATCCAGTTCCAACCCCTGCCACGGGCAGGGACACCTTCCACCAGAGCAGGTTGCTCCAAGCCCCTGTGTCCAACCTGGCCTTAAACACTGCCAGGGATGGAAAGTAAAATATTTGATTGCTTTAATTCCTCTTGGCTCAGGAGGAGGCTGATGTGCATGGCACAGCTTCCCGGGTAGACCTGGGGCTTCCAAGGCAGAGGGGAGATGTCCTTCCCTAGCAGTTACATCTGCTGCTTGAAGAAATCATCAGGGAAGAGAAACATGCTAAAGAGGCTGATTACAAGGGGATACCTTTCTCCATCCTGGGTGCTTCTCCACATGTTCTTTCTTTGTATCAGTCCTTGTGACAGCAGGTGAGATCCACTGTCTGCCACTGGCAGGTAAAATTTGGCTGCGAGGACAGAACTGCAATGGACATGAGTATACAGACTGGAAGCATCAAGAGGTGGCATGAGGGGCAATTACAGTGACAGAAAGGCCACAAACTGGGAAGAATCATAATGAAATGGGGAAATCAGCTGAATTCCAAGAGAGGCAGGAAGCTGAGTTCATTGCCCTGCGATTGCCAGTCCCAAGCAAGAGGCATTTTGATCAGCTACTGCACACTGGCCCATGTACCAAAAGCCAGAGAACATCCCCCCAAAAACCACTCAAAAGCCACAAACTACCAGAGGAGACAAACAGGACCTTGGACCCGCAGTAACTGCCAATTTAAAAAGAAATGCAAGCACTGATGACAGCCCGTATCTCTTGCCAGACAGAAAGGGAATGCTCCCTAACCAAATCATCCCTGCTGGCTGGAGGAGGAGGAAGAAGGAGGTCAGATCCCTTCCCAGTGCCAAAGCTGGCAATCAACCTTATCACCAACTAAGCAGCCATGCTCTGTACTCCAGCACTCCCCATTTATGATCCCATTTTCTCGCTGCAGTCAGTCTCTGATGCCTCATGAGATTAATAAACAAACAACTAAATCAATACAGTCATCTCAATCCCTGCAGGCCACAGGCTGTGAATAACATAACTTCTGCCTGAAAGAAGTATGAGCTTAAGAGAGGCTCCCAAGAGAGAAGTCCAGCACTCCAGATCTGTCCAAAAATCAACACATGCACACAGGGGAACAGTTCAGCAGTGCCCTGGGAAACAGGGATACTGAGCAGGTCCTCCCCTCCTACAGCTTCCTGATTTTCTCCTCAAGCATCATCAAATCCAGCCCTGACCCTATTTGAAGTCCAGCCACTGAAGGAATATTTCCACATTCTTCAAGACAGGCTGGGAAATAATCTCAGTTATTGACTCAACAAGGGGGCTGCTCTGCAAACATCAGTCCTCCTCAAAGACAGCCTTTGGCTCTCCAGTTCCTATCAACAGGGAACCTCACCAGAACCTCTCTGAAGCAGAGAAGCGTGTGTGTGAGAATGAAAGTAAATTAGGTCTGAACAAGATTAACAGGGATTTAATTGAACTGTGTGAACTGGAACTCCAGTCACAAGCTACTTATTAGCCTGTCTCAAGGGACTGTGCTGCTTGTGCCAGAGGAGCACAAGGATGCATTGTGAGCGTGGGACAGCTCAAGGGGATGGCGATGGCCACAGCTCTCAAGATGAGCGTGGCCAGAGAGGCAGAGCTGTAGGAATGTGATCAAAACAGAAGCAAGGAATTCTCAGCTCCCCACCATCTTTCTTCAGAGCTGAGGTTTGGCCAGTGGAGGGAGCGGAACTTGACATTAGCTGAGGAAACTCAGCTCTAAGCCCAGCTCCTGGGCTTTGGGTGGCAGAGCAAGGTGCTGCTCGCCCCATGCTGTCAACTAGCTGGTATCTGGAGGCAGACCTTTGAAAACCTCCCCTTCAATAAAATTGCCTTAAGGAGGCCTTCAACTCCCTTTGGGATATTAATTACAAAACAGCCTGGAGAAAAATGCTTGGGAATTAAAGGAGTCACCACACTGGTCCTTCTTTAGCTTTGGTTTTCTGGTGAGGAAACCAACAGATGCTTGCCAGAGCCTGGTTACCCACTCTGGTCTTACCACAGCCAAGAAGAGCCACCAGCCAGCTCCACACTCCTGCATGTAAACCTGAGCTACAGCTGAGGGGCTACTGAAAATCCCTATTACCAGCCTACTGAATTCCATCTAATCCCCCTGCTCGCATTATTAACAAATGATGCCTTTATTACTGCTACCTTCATGGGGGCTCTTGGAGCCAAAATCTCTCATGAGAGGCAAATTCATTTAGTCATTGCACCATTTCCTCCTTCCTTCCCAAGAAGGTGAAGCTGTACTGGGAGATAGTTCCCTACTTCCAAGTCAAACATAGATAGAGATGCACACATGCCTGACAGTATTAACTAACCAATTTCTCACAGATTAAAGGATCTGAAAGGCTTTCCCTTAATGGATCATTTCTGTGAATAGGTTATTTATGTCCCTGTGTTCCTATAGTGCGAGTTCTGGCAGCTTTCACAATGAATGCATGGAAAAGGCAGCACAACTTTAAAAAGAGATTTCTTTTTAAACAAAGAGATTCTGATTGTATTTATTACACATGTCAAGAGAAACTAAAACACATGGGATATTCATCATCTCTAAAAACACACTATAAATTCAGCTAACAAAAGCATTCAAATAGGTATAATACTGTTAAGAACAGACTAGGACATTTATCTTCATCCCTCCTCCCCCAACAAAACCAAACCCCCACATCCATGATTTCTACTTAGCAGTGAGTAAACCAGCCTGCAAACAGCTAGATATAGATGTGTATGTAGTAGCCTGCTATTTCAGGTAACAACCACACAGTGCTCATTGCTAACTGGTTCTTAGCTGCAGAAGCACTTCTATATTTTGGGTAATGTGTGTGCTACTCTCAATAGTTGCAGTTCCGTTAAAGCATTAACCCCCGCCTTTAGGCAACCTGCAGAAAACCAGAGTCTTTTAGATAAAACCACCACCATCCTCTTTTATGAAAATGGAAGAAATGATCTGCAGTCCCTGTCCAGGGCAGTGGCCATGCTCTTCTTTCCCCTGCAGATTCCAGACAGGAACACAGGTCCATAATGGAAACTTATAACACAATATTGTTCTTTGTTATTTGCCTGGGAAATTTCTGTAATGTTTCTTTGTACTGAGAACTCAAAGCAACTGTAGAGTGCTTGTGCCTCCCGTGCTTTGTTCTGTCCTCCTAGTATTGCCTTTATGTAGCTCAAAAGAGGGAAGAAAAAGAAAATGCTGAATTTAAAGCAGAACTCTAAGCTGGATTTTAAACAGTGCACCTTGGTGTCAGCATTCTGGTTAAGGGAAGCAGAGAGCCTGGAGTAGAGGAAGCAGTGAGAGGTTAATCAAACTGGTACTGAGATCCATCTGTCTCACCCACCAAAACCAAGAGTGAGCAGAGAACATGGCTGTTCTAAACACTGATGGTGTAAACTTGGTGTTCAACTCCTGTTAAAGAACACCCAGCACAACACTGCTACCATATCCGGGCTCCCCAGGCATTTGTAAATTGAGGATGGGAGGCTGTGTATGCAAAAAGGATCACAGACTTCCCGCCCTGCTAGAGAGAAGCCTGTCCTTCAAAGCCGCTCTGAACCCTGGGTGCGCCTACAAGAGCAGGTTCTCCTCCCATTGACTCATTCGTGATCAAACAAACCAAGATGTGAGCTGGCATCAGGAAGCTCGAGCTGCCCTACAGAGACTCTGTGGCTGTGTCACCACCTATCTCTTTCCAGTCCTGTCTAGCCATATTTAAATCTAATACTAGGTTGTCCCTGGGCCTGGAGAGCTAGAGCCTGAAGGAACATTGTGTATATGTCTCTTGCCATATAGTCATGGTACACAGGCAGCTTGCCACCCCTTCTATCTCCTCAGGCAGAGATCATGTTTAACTTCAGGGAGAATTCAGCAAGAGGAGATGCAGCAAACTGCAGCAGGTAAGGCTGGGAGAGAGACTGCAAATGCAACAAGCCCCAGTCATGTTGAAATGGAGCACGTGGTTAGAACTCAGCTGCCTGACAGGAGGTTTATCAACAGTACAGCCAGGCAGTGCTGTTTGATACACAACAAATTCCCTGCTCCAAGACTCCCACCTTAGAGCAGCTTTTCTCCAACACACAGTACTTGGGAAATGAAACTTGGGAACCCCATTAACACACACATTAAATTTTGCACCTTCCAGAATCAAACTGTTCCCTGCTTTTTGTAGTCCCCACCACAGCCTCAATTCCCTAAATTGTACCTGCTCTCCAGGGTGGGAATGTAAAGGAGAAGTGCATGGGTGGGGAGTAAGAAAGGCAGCGACGCTGGGGAAATGAAAGCTTTTCATCTACTGCAGTCTGGAATCTGATGAGTTATTACCTAAAGAATTAAAGAATATGACAAAGACATTATTATTAAGCCATAAAATGCAGCTATGTATTTCAGCCTAGATGACAACAGAGATGAATGAATACAAAGCTGTGTAGTGTAGTATCCTTGATCCATTTGATCCCTCCACCTTCAAAAAATACAACACAAACCAGCATCCAAAGTAGCAACCTGTGCTCCACCTTTCCCAGGGACTGGACTAGGAACCCCAGCCAGCGTGGTGGAGCTAGAACAAACAGGCCTCTCTACCCAGCAGAAATGACAGAAGTCCCTTTAGTGGTGACTGACACATTAATCATGTCAAATGAAGTCCTGGACATATGAAGCCCTCTTTGCTTGTAGGAAATCTATGGTAGAATCCCACCCCTTCCACTCTTCTAAGTTCTTTCTCCCTTGTCTCCGAAAGGTAAAACATGGCAATGCCAGAGAACCATTTAATCTAGTTAGTTGCCTTTGATGTCATCTCCGAGGAAGCGTGATTATAGGTGATTATTTTGCCTTTTGGGGCTCATAGGTCATGCCTTTATCGTTTCTTTTTGGTTTCCTTCTTAGGTTTCTTGCTTATCTGCGGAGCAGTCGCCTTTGGCTTCTTCACTGTCTCTGAATTCTTGGGCTCAAAACAGTCAGAGTCCTACAAGAATCAATTGAGAAACAGTCAGTAACTTGTTCTTATGATTTGCTGACAGCTCATTTTGGGAATCTGAGTATAAGCCAAAGGAAGCAAGTGCTGGGTATCCCTGTTGGAACACTTCTATAGCAAACTGAGTCCACGTTTAATGAGACACAAGTGGCACCATCTCTGCTTCTCCTGCATGTGCTTTTTGATGTGTGAGTTTATGCACAGAACAGCTTTTAACGGCTTCTCTGGTAAGAAGCTGCAAGTGTCTAAAACAGCATTTGGAAAAGAAAAACAAAACCAACTTTAAAGGCAAGAAAATCAACACTAAATGAAAACTATTCAAATTAGGAAAGGGAGAACATACCATATAATCACCAATGTGCACGGAAACATTCACGGGTATTTCTGCTAAATGTTAATCACTATCATGGGCAAGACAAAAAAATATTCCCCCCCACACTTAAGAATGCAAAGTTCAAAGCCTCCAAACTGAGCCCCAAATCCAGGAAGGGAATTGCAGGCAAAGCTTTTTTCACCTGGACTAACAAGGATTGCTTAGATATGCTGCTTGTTTCCTTCAGGGAAGATGACAGATAGTACTTCAGCCCTGGGAAATAAAGTCTAGTTATCTTGTAAAAACACAAGGGAACAGCGCCAGTCTCATCTGAGAAAGCACACACATGCAGATTGCCTCCTTTCATTAAATGCATTGAGTATAAATATTGCTTTAGCATCTTGGTTTCTATCAGTCAGTGTGTGCCAACTGGAAAAGGACACACAAAAAATGGCTGAGCAAGACGTGCTAGTTTCAGGCTTCCAAGACAGCGCTCCAGATAATGGAGGGGGAGGCGAGCATCTGACAGTATCCTTATAATCAAAGAACTTGGTTCAAACGTCTCTCAAGTTACTGGGCTATTAAGAGTTCACATCTGTGTGGCTTTCCAAGGAAGGAGACTTGGCTGGCTTTCCAAGGGCTGTAATCAGTGCACGGGGAGCCGGCAGGCTCTGGAGGAATGGAGCAACATGCAGTTATTGCTCAGGGATGCAGCTGCCGTAAAGCGAGCACTGCTGCCTTCTAACGTTCAAACCAAGGTAGACTTCAAAGCCCAAAGCCTCCAAGACAGAGATCCTACTATCCTACCCAGGCTCAAGCATCATTCCCAAGATCTCGAGGGGGAGCCTCTGGAGTTCACAGTCTTGTAAATTAGTCATATGGACAGTAAATCTAGAGGACATGTGGAGAAAGTAAAAAGTAGAGCAAGCAAACATCAAGGCACACTTGCAAACTCAAACAGTAACAGGTCCTTGAGCATTAGCAGTTTAATTTGGGGCCTGGTCTTCACTTTCACACTTCAAACTAAAGCTCTCACTCCTTCCAGCTTTCAAGAATCAGGCTCCTCAGTGTTTCTCAAATATTTATCAAGGGCAACCCTGGTAACAGATGGGTGCAGGTGGCTGTAAAATAGCAGTGCAAGACTTGCAATGCCACAGCGTCGTGACCAGCAGCTGTGACCATCATCTCCCTGCTGAGAGCTGCAGCTTCTGAGCAGAACAGAGCATGCACCCATGCTGGGGCAGTGACACTAATCCAGTACATCACTGCAACTTCACATCACACCAGCAGTTAAAGGTGAAAAAGTTGGGCCATGAACTTCATCCTTCCCTTCCCCGCATAGGCTGAAAATTTCCATGCTTCCTTCTGCACAAGAGGCAATAGTCTGAAAACAACACCTCCCATGCTGAGTTGTTACTGAAAATACACCACAAGCATTTAGACAAAACCTGAATCAAACCACCAAACTTGCAGCCTGATCACCAACACTGAAATCCCTGTCCCCAGCACCACAGGCACATGAAGGTCTTCGATCTGAAAAGCCATGAGGATGCAGGACATCCCAGTGGGGCCCAGTCTAGAGGAACAGGAGTCCTGTAGCTCACTTCAACCTTTCACTTGAACCTTCTCCTGTACCAACTGCATCAAAGCACACTCCACTTGCTGGCATGGCATTGGGTGTCAGTACTGAAAACTGCCTTCCTCACTTTGGAATGACAGACTGGTTTGGGTTGAAAGAGGCCTTAAATATCACCTAGTTCCAACTCCCTGCCACGGGCAGGGACACCTTCCACTAGACAAGGTTGCTCCAAGCCCCTGTGTCCAACCTGGCCTTGAACACTGCCAGGGATGGGGCAGCCACAGCTTCTCTGGGCACCCTGTGCCAGCACCTCAGCACCCTCACAGGGAAGAACTTCTGCCTAAGAACTCATCTCAATCTCCCCTCTGGCAGGTTAAAGCCATTCCCCTTGTTCTGTCCCTACATCCCTTGTCCAAAGCCCCTCTCCAGATTTCTTGTAGCCCCTTTAGGTACTGGAAGCTGCTCTAAGGTCTCCCCTTAAGGAGCCTTCTCTTCTCCAGGCTGAACCAGCCCAGTTCTCTCAGCCTGTCTCCAGAGCAGAGCTGCTCCAGTCCTCAAAGCATCTTCATGGCCTCCTCTGGACTCCCTTGAGCAGGTCCATGTCCTCACCTATCTTAAATATCTTGTATATCTTAGAATATACTAGAAATATCACCTGTATCTTGTTCCCAACAACTGTACACAAAATAGAGCCCAAAGTCATTTCCTGAAAGGCAGGTGCTGTGAAGGGGATGCTCTGGCAATTAATAAAGCAAATCAGCAGTAGGACAATCTGGTGTTGGGACTAAAGCCACTTCCTGCACCGTCAGGAACATCATGTACATTTAGCACACCTTGCCAGTGCTTCAAGTCACTTTTTTCACTGATATTTAGAGATCCTGGCTCAGGTATTTGTTCCTGACTTTCTGATATGGGGGTAAATCACAAGACAAAAGCTGGAGGTGGGAAAGCTGGAAGGAAGGAGAGAGAACAATGAGACTGTCATCAAACCCAGAGGCAGATCACTGTGTCTCCATTAACTACTCAAAGTTCCCTCCCATCCTACTTTCTCCACTTCTACCCATCAATATTAAAGAGCACTGCTTACTGTCTTGTGGGACTTGGACACTGGCAGGATTATGGCTAGCACACAGATAAGCTGGAAAATGGCTCCAAAGAAGAGTCCGTAGCGTAGCACATTCTCCATGAATGTGGGCTCAGGGATTTCAGGTGGGGAGAAATCCAACTCAGCAGCCATTGTGGGGGCACCCTTCTCCTCTAATGCTCTCAAGACGACTGGTTACTACAAGGAAGGAAAAAAAGAGCAATTATTTGCATCATGCCTTCTGGTATTCACTTGCCATTATCAAAAACTGACAGACTATCCCTTGATCTACAGAACCAATAACAAAGAGGGAAATAAATGTTATTTGGATGCTTCTTTTACCACCTGCCTAAGAAAACAGTGCTTCAATGCTACGATCAGTCCATTTGCAGGTGAGGGGAAGACAAACAGAATATGAACAATGTTCATGAAACAGTAAAGGAAAAGCTTAAGAAGTAAGAATATATTTCTCCCTGACTTATATGCAAGATGACTATTACTCGTTTTCACTTACATTGTATATGTGATCACAGCCTTGTTGGTTTAGAGGGTGTACAAAGCCAACTGCTACTTAAATAAACCACACAGAAGGTAGATCTGTTGAAGACAGAGGATGAGTTATGCATTTAAAGTTAAGCATGGCTTTAGTGGCCAGTTTCACTAAGCCCATATACCTTGAGATGGTCACACAGGTAGTTTGTGGCAGAGTTAAACATTGACCTCCTGGGTCCCAAGCTAGTTTCTCAGCCACAGGAGCTTCCTTTCTTCCTTCCTTTATCTTTTGCTAATGGAGTTGTCAATTCATTCTATGAATGAGTAATGGCTTTCTACATTAAGGGAGAACTCTCCTGCCACAATTGCTGGAGCACAACACAGAAAGTCCCAAAAGGGAAATTCGATTAGTTTGAGATGCCATCAGAGCTCAGCTGTGATTACTGTCTGAATCCGTTCTCCTGAGCTGCATGAGCCTGGTGCATACTTATTGAATCAGCACTACTTATTGATACTTACAATTCTCTGTATCACTAAAGCTTGAGTGTGAGATTGGGCTGCATGCACGTTCCAGCTGAATGGTGGTGATCTGCCTCCTAGAAACTATCTCCAAAGCAGGCTCTGTATTTCTCATGCTAGGAGGAGATTTCTACACTCTGCAGATGTGACCCAGTTCAGAAAGATGCTAAACTGAGGAGTATAATCTGAGTAAAGTTACAGTTGATAAATTTAAGATGATTTAAGATGATTTGACACTATTGCATAAAAGGCAAATGTCATTTGGCAAAAGTCATCATATACTAAAAGGAACAGCATATAAATAGCAAGAAATTATTTTAATTCAGCTGAAATGTGCGATATTATTTTGAGTTTTAAAAGACAGAGGAAAATTCCAAACTGCACAAGCTGCAGCCACTGGAAAGCAGAGACTGTGGAACCCCTGTTAGTGGTGATTCAGAAGTGCAGATCAGATAAGCCTTTGCCTGGGATGGGGTGTAAGTGTATATAATCCTGCCTCTGAATCAGGCATTAAGAACAAGTGACCTCTCATGGTCCCTTCAGGTCTGGACTTCAGTGAAAGGGTTGGATTTCTTCAAATTCTGATTGAAACTCAGTGAGCAACAGCCATGTGGGACCTGTGCATGAAGCCAGAACACACACTGGACCACTGGGGCTCAGCAAGTCCCAAACAGACCCAAAGGCTACACAGGACACACCACAGTGCCAACAAAGCACAAATGTGGCTCATCCCTAACTCCCTTTAAAGTTAAAAAGGCCCTCCCCTCCAACCCACTAAGGTAGCAGTTCCTCAGCAAGAAACAGGACCATGGGAAACTTCACCCTTGAACTGCATTTTATCACAACGTTTCTTATTGGGCTCTCTCTTGAAAACATTATTCTTGCCCATCCCCTTCCTCAAACAGCACAGGAAGGGATGTGGCTTCATTCCTCACCTGGACTTTTCCCAGGACAAACTCCTGCTGAGAATCCCGACTCATACACCTGAAACACAGCACACAAAAATAAACCAGAAAAGGAAACTGATACAGTGAAAACAAACAATCCTCATCTTCCGCAAGTCTCCTCCTCCTTTCCCCTTTTCTGTTTCACTTCCCCTGAGGGATTAGTAATTATCTAACAAATCCCAGGTGACGTGACCAGCATCAAGAGCTCTCAAGCAGGCTGGGAGCAGCTGCCACTACCATTTTCAGCATTACCCCATGAAATATGCTCAGAGAAGACCTGACATCATGCTCCAACTAGTCATAGAGTGTCCTTGCTTGCACAGGAGCCACAGCAGGCAGCCCACATTCTGACCTATCAGTGGAGCTGAAGTAATATTAGCAAAATTCTTCCCTGTTTTAACACTCCTGTGGTTAACACAGCACTCAAACCTGCCAGGCAAGGAGGCTGAAGCTTACACACATGAGCAGGCCAAAGCTGAACCTGGGGGAAGCAGGGTTCAGCCTTCCCCACTGACCCAGAGCTTGCAGTGGGTTTCCTCACTGCAAGCACAACCTCCTTGCACTGTGCCTTGTAGCTCACCCAGCAGATCCCTGGATGATAATGGAGTTTTCCTCCCTGTTCCTGAGCGGTAAACAGTTTCACCACCTCTTCCTTGGCTGCTGCTTCTTCTCCACAGGTTATCAACCAGCTTTTCCTCAGACCACCTCACCTATTAACATGGTTAAAGTAATTGTTCTTAAATTGCATTTCAAGACAGGTACTCCTATGTCAGACCCTGAGAGGACACGTCCCCCTCACCCCTCCAGCTTACTCAGCAGCTACCACCTCTCCCCACAAGCTCGGCCATCTTACTGGAACCTTACAGCAGAAACAGGTCACAAACACTTGCACTTCACTACAGGAACTGATTTTGACTATTTATTTAAAAACAGTATTGCTTCCATCAGAGTTTTACAGCAAACAGCTACCCCTGCACAAAAGGACTCTATCCTCGGGCAAAGCCAGAGCTATACCACAGGACCCGTGAGGGGCTACAGGCTTGGGCTCTTCCTCAGTGACACCACTGAAGATGCAGCCATCCCCCTGCGTGCAGGATCAGACCCTATCATACCTAACTGTGTGTTTTCAGGATCAGGGCCATAAACCAGCCACCTCAGTAGAGCTGGGGCACACTTAACCCTTTCTTTTTGCCGTCCTGCATTTCTCAGCTGGCATCTTCAAGCCCTAGCACTACATAAATAATCAGTGTAGGACAAAGCTACAGGAGCACTTCAAGCAATAAGACATTAGCTTCCTGCTGGGGTGGAAATAAAGAGCAACGGTGCAGAACATAAAAGCTGCTATCAAAGGATAAAGCAAGAAATGACTTTGTAGGTGCCGGGATGGAGACCGGCCAGTATCG